TGGCATGCCTGGTGGCCCTGCAGTTCCAAAGTGTCGCTAATTTCAGAATTCAGCCTCCAACACGTGCTCCTGCTGGTGCACATCTGTGCATTCACAGAGCCAGAGACATGTTTGGGCAAACAGATCCAAGCCCCTTCTTGCTGCAAACATTTCCCAAATGGTCTCTTTCCTGTTCGTGGTATTTTGGGTGGCCATTCCCCTTCCCAAGTGACTGCCTTGGGCTTCAATTTTATATTCTAATTTTTAAAATTTACTGCTTTAACTGTGTGTAAGATCCCTGCTGATTGTCCCTCAGGTTCTTCTCTGCCTCCTCTGTTCCCCCAGGATGGCAAATCCAGCTCCAGCGAGCTGCTGGATCCAGAGTTCAGGAATTGTGCTTGTTTTTGTAAAACAGGAAACTGTATGAGAACCAGAACTAGATGGACAGTGAGAAGGTGGCAGCGGGAGGTGTGAGCTAGACAAAATCCTTATGTAAGTTTGGGTTCCTTCATTTACTTTGAGCCACAACCTTTAATGTGAGGAGAAGCTCAGTGAGGTGGGTGGGAGTGCGCGGTCCTGGCCCTGTGTGTGCTCCCTGAGGTTTCTCTCCTCACCTGGCAGAGCAGCTGCTGTGCTGGTGCAGAGCAGGATCTGCACTCCCTGGAGCAGCTTCGCCTGGAACAGAGAGAGCGGAAAGCAAAAGCGCTGCTGCCTTCCTGCCAAACAGTAAAAGCTGCATGTTTAAAAGCAAGATTTCAGTCCGAAAGCATCAAAGCAAAGCACTGACTTATTTGAGAAGCCCCGTTGCCTTATCCTGATAATAATGTTCTTTTTAGACAGAGTTGGAAGGTGTTTTATTGGCTGCTTTAATGCCTTCATGAACACAGTGTGTTTCTGGAGCTGCTGCTCTGTCTTGTGTTCAGAAATACTGCACGTGCCATACTTCTGCTTGCTGAAGTTTCAGAGAATTGCTTTTTTCAGTTCAGGGTATGAACGCATTGTCAAATAAGACATTTGTTTCCATTTACACTACTTGCAATTTGGTAATAAGCAACAGATGAAACAGCAGTGTCCAAATTCTCTTGTATAAAATTTCCTGTGGATGCCATCCCTCCATTTCACAGAAACAGGCCAACTTGCAGTCCTGTGAGCAGCATTAAAAGTACAGATACCAATAGAGAAGAAAGAAAGCAGAAATAGCTGGAGCTTAGTGAGGTGGTATGAAATCGAGCACTGGTTTCTGAATATCAACCCAAAAGCTGTCTGGGGTTGAAGACCCCAGGCTCAAGGGGTGTTTTCAGCCCTGTGCTGCTCTGACTGTACTGGCCAGTCAGGGGGTGTCCATCAGAGGCATCGAAGGGCAGAGTAAGTAATTTTTGCTTTTTACTACAAGGTTGCACCTGAATTGTCTGCGGGCAGATGAGGCAGCACCAGCGGCTCCGGTGCTGTTCTTGGTGTTCTTTCCCCTCCTGGAGCCTGCGGGTGTCCGTCCCAGCCCTGCCGGGGAGGGAGCGCCGGGCGCGGCGCTGCTGCGGCTGCTCCCGGGGTTTGCGGTGCCTCGGGGAGGGCGGGCGGTGTGCGGGGCTGCACTGCCGCCCGGCGGCCTCTCCCTTCCTCTGCTGAAAGCGCCCTTCGCGCGGGAGCCCAGCGCTGCGGCGGGCACTGCGGTGCTGGCACCAAAGCGTTCCTGCCTCCCCTTCACCTGTGCGGGCACACCTGTGCCTGGGCATGTTGGCATACCTGTGCGGGCACGCCTCTGTGAGCCTGGGCAGTGTTGGCACACCTGTGCGGGCACGGCTGTGCAGGCACACCTGTGTGGGTCCCCCCACCTGTGTGAGCCTGGGCAGTGTTGGCATACCTGTGCATGCACACCTGTGTGAGCCCGGACAATGTGGGCACACCTGCGCTGGCACACCTGTGCGGGAACATCTGTGTGGGCCCAGGCGGTGTTGGCACACCTGTGCAGGCAACCTGTGTGAGCCGGGACAATGTGGGCACACCTGTGCAGGCACACCACTGCCAGGAGCGCCCCTGGGCACAGCCAGGGCCACAGGAGGGACGTGCCCCAGATGCCACCGCTGCCAGGAGCACCCTGGCACAGCCAGGGCCACAGCAGTGCTGTGCCCGCACTCGAGGCAGTGCTGACACCTGCACCCCAGGGCAGGCTGAGGTGGCACAGTGGGGATCGATGCCCACAGGCTGCCCGTGGCTGTGCTGGCGTCCCCAGCCTGGAGAGGCCGTGTGGAGGTGGCACCTGGGGACAGGGGCTGGCGGTGCCCTGGGCAGTGCTGAGGTTGGTTTTAGAGGGATTTTGCAGCCTGAGTGACTCTGTGGCTGACAGACACAGCAAGGGCCTGCGATGCTCTGGGGGTGCGGGCAGTGGGGTGCACTGGGGTGCCAGGGGGTGAACAGGGACTGCTTTACAAACAGGTGTGGGGCTGTAAGCCTGGATTGCTCTTACAAACAAGGTGCAAGGTTATAAACTTACACATATCTCCTTTCCAAACCACAGTTTGAAAGCTCAGCCTGATATTGCAACACTTATTGTTTGCTGATTTACTGAGGGGGCAGGTCAGTGCCTGACTGAGTCCATCCCGTCTCTGCACAGCTGAGCACACCCAGGCAATCCTGGCTGTGACTGTCCGTGTCGTGGAGCACAGGGATGCAGGGAACGCTGGCTCTGAGCAGGGGCACACGCTGCTTGCTGCTCTTCCCATTGCAGTTTTTACCCTGGTTTTAGCCTGCTTAACCTTGCTCTCGTGTTTTTCTGAAACACCAGCAGCCTGGACTGCATGGGAATGCGGGGGGTGGGAAGCAGGGCATGCTGCATGGCTCCTGGTACACGGCGTGCAGGAAAAGCAGCAATGTGACATTTCATCCTTGCATAACTACAGAATGGTATGGATTGTGGGATGGCTTAAAATTGTCTCATTCCTCCCACATGCCATGGGCAGGGACAGCCTCCCCTAGACCCGGTACTCCAAGTTCCATCCAACCATACTGAATGTAATAAATAAGGAGGGAAAGGACTAAACTGAATTTTTGCTTTAGAAAGCTGTGTGTGGTGGGGAGCAGGTGGTGCACAGCAAGGCAGCAGTGCTGGTGCTGCTGTGGGCTCTGGAGAGCACTGGCAGTGCAGGGCTGGTGCTGGGGTGAGGCAGGAAGGGTAAGCACTGCGTGGGATGGATCTGGATTTTAACATCCACATATTCCATTTGGCACCCATCCCCTGTCTGACAGAGGCCTTGTGCTGTCCCAACCGGTCCCTTTGACTGAAAGGGCTCTGACAATATTGGCATAGGGGCATTTCTGTATTGCAGCTGGTGCTGCACGGTTCCTTTGGGTGCATCGGTTTATGATTTCCTCTATCTGGGAGTGCCGTGGGTTCAGGGAGGTTGCTGGGGTGGTTCACTGGAGGCCAGGGGAGCGGCTCTGCCATGAGATGAGACGCGGGTCTTTCAAGGTTAAGCGCTGTGAGCTCCTGCCCTGAGCCAAGGGTGACCTCGGGGCAGGAGCAGAGCCCCGGCTGTCGCTGCACAGCTTCCACCTGGAGACCAGCCTGGAAGGAGAGTGGGAACCCTTCCTTAAGTGCAGCAAAACAAAACACCAGTGTTGGTGGTTCCAGTCTGGCCTCCTCTTCCTCCGTGCTGTTTGCCCGTGCCAGAGCTGTCCTGGGGGCTCCTGCTCTCCTGGGAGGGACAGGGCAGGAGAGGGTTTTGTCCTGCATGCCCCATCATCAGCTGGGCCTCACCTTCCCGTGCCACCTGAGATCTGCCTTCTTTACCTGTGTTTTACCTCTCAGCCCCTGACAAGAGACCTGAGCTGTGCAAAAGAGGACGTGGGTTTGCTGCTCCGCGCCCAGCCCTGCGTGTCCACGTGTCACTGCTGGGACCCAGGCCGCCCTCACCTGTGCCAGAGTGGGCTCACCTGTGCCCTGGCCAGCACCTGGCACGGCAGGGCGGGTGGAGTGGCCGTGGAGCTGTGTTCTCTCTCGGTTTTGGGGGAGTGGGGTCAGCAACATTGGGCTTTCACTGGCTGCTGTGCTGCAAAGTGCCGAGGACAGAGAGCAGGGATGGATTTTTAAAATACTTGAATAGTTTGGAGGTGGCAGAACTTAAAAGTCTGAAAGTCTGACTAACTCATTTGTGTCTGGGCAGGTGGCACATGGCTCAGCTCTCAGCTTTCTGTGGTGTTCCTGCTCTGCTTCCCCAAAGGCTGCTCAGCCGGAGAGCACGAGGCTGCGCCGATTTGCTGCTGGTAGAATTTAGCCGAAGAAATCGCCTACATTTTAATGCGAAAAGGTAAAACCGCTGTGTCCCGGGCTCTGCTCGAGCTCCTGCCTTGCCGAGCGGCAGCTCGGTGCCCCGGGACACCCGGCACGGCTGTGGGCACCTGGGTGTCACCGTGCGGCCACCGCCGCTCCCGTCCCGCTCCCTCCGCCGCCTGTCCCGGGGGCTCAGCGCGGGGCTCGGCGCGGGGTTCAATGCGGGGCTGGGGCAGGGACGGGGTTCTGTTCGGGGTTCGATGCGGGGCTCGGTTCGGGGTTTGGTACAGGGCTCGGTTCGGGGCTGGGGCAGGGCCGGGGTTCAATGCAGGGTTCAATGCGCGGCTCGGGGAGAGGCTCAATGCGGGGCTCGGAGCCGGGTTCAGTGCGGGGCTGGGGCAGGGCCGGGGCTCGGCTCGGGGTTCCGTGCGGGGCTCGGTTCGGGGCTCGGTGCGAGGTTCAGTGCGGGGCTCGGAGCGGGGTTCCGTGCGGGGCTCGGTGCGAGGTTCCGTGCGGGGCTCGGAGCAGGACCGGCCGGCTCGGCTGCTCCCGGCGGCTGCACGGGGAATCTGCTGGTGCAACCTGTTGTTTTGGAAGCCGCACAGCGGAGTAACCTCTGCCCCGGGTGGCAACGCAAGAAATCACCTCCTGGCCGGGACCCAAGCAAAACACGGGATTAACTTTGCCCTGCGCTGGCTCGCTGGGAGGCGGTGGGAGGGTGAGAGCGGCTCCGGAGCGCAGAGAGGATCGTGCGAGGATGGGGGCCCGGCTGCTGTGCCTGTGCCTCCTCACCGCCCTGCTCGCCTACTACGTCTACAGCCCGCTGCCGCCGGAGCTGGCCCAGCCCGGCACCGTGATGCTGCTCTCGGCTGCCGTCAGGGCCCTGGGGCACCTGGTGAGCTGTGGGGCCGGGCAGGGGGGTGCTGTGGGCTCGGGGCACGGCACGGTGTGTGTGTGTGCGCGCGCGCGTGTGTGTGTGTGTGTGTGCGTGTGTGTGCGCTGCGTGTGTCACACGGGGATCGTGTCACACGGACACGAGGGCAGAGTCACTGAATGGAACGCTGAACTGTGACTGTGCTAGAAAGAAATGAGGGAAGGTTTGGTCCTGCAGCCTTGAGAAAGGGCCGTTCAGAGTAGCGAATGGGACATGGGAATGTGGCTGGACCGACAGGCAGAGACAGGCTTCTCCTGCCGTGAAGGGCTGTGCAGCTCGAGCCCTGCTGCCCGAATCATCCCTGGCTCCCGTGCCCGCTCCCCCGGCTGGCCGGGGAGGGAACGCTACAGCAGCTCTCACATTCTCTTGATTTCTGTGGTTTCATGGCAATCCACGGGCAAAAAGGCCTGAAAACCGCACAAAACAACATCTCTGTGTGAGACAGCCCTTGTTGGCTCTCCAGCCCGCAGGAGGAGGGAGGACGAGGAGGTTTTTGTGTGTCAGGGACTCGTGTTTTGGTTTCGGGGCTAAGTGGTGGAAGATGAGAGCGGGGAGAAGGAAAGCAGCCGTGTTCAGCAGTGCTGGTGCGCTGCCTTGCTGCCTGCCCTGCTGAATGCCCTGCTGGAGGCGGGCACGGGCAGCCCATCGCCCTGGCACGCCCGGTGCTGCCCGGCCACCCTGTCCCCCTGCAGGGAGGCCCTGCTGGCTGCAGCGGTGCTGTGATCGCCTGCAAGGTGGGGCTGTGCCTGCTGCTGCTCTCCTGCCTGCCTGGGCACGGCGGGGCTGTGGGCACGCCTTTTGTAACCGCGCGCTCATCTCCTGTGAATCCACAATCCCGAGGGATGGGCACAGCCCCAGCCCCCTGGAGCTGCACCGGTGCAAATTAGAGTGAGGTGGCCCTAAATTGTCCCAAGTGTACCCTGAGTGGCCCTGCAGTTAGAGGGCAGTGACTCGAGCTCACTGGGGCAGGGCTGGGTTTCAGAGGGGACCTGGTGCAGTCTCTCTGACTCCCTGAGGCTGGTTTGAGCAAAGGGGACACCGTGCCACCCTCGAGCGCTCCTGGGCAGTGCAATCCTCTCTGGGCTCCCAAAGGGGGTGCCAAGAGCCCCACGGCATGGCACATATCCATGCCCTGTTGTGGCGGCTCCTGGGGAGCCCCCAGCCCTGCTGGGTGAGCTCAGGGGCCCTCGGTGCCCCCTCTTTTAGCAGGGAGGCTGGGAACTCTCCCTGGCCTGTTGGTGCTTGTGTCCTGTGCGCACGTGCTGCCAAGCTGGGGAGCAGCCTCTGAGAGCAAACCTGCCGCTTGCTGTGGAGTTTGAGCCCCAAACCCCTCAGGCATTCCAGGAAGTGCCCCATGCCCTTGGTCTGAAACGCCTGCAGAAGGTACAAAACACAGCAGGATGGTTTTGCTGCCGCTGTGTGCCATCCCCGCAGAGCTCCCCCTCCTCAGCCCAGCTCTGGGGAAGCACAGCCCCAGCCTGGGCCCTGCTCATGGGCTGCCCCCCGAGGGTCCCCATCCCAATCCCTGCCCCTCTGGAGCCCTGACCTGCTGGGAGCCCTGGGGCACTGCCCCTGCCGGGGCACAGCCACTCCCTTCCCCTGCACAGGGTGTGGGTCTGTCCGTGCCGTAGGGACTGGGGAAATGCCTTGCAAAGCACAGGGAAAGTGCTCGTGCTCAAGGAAAGTGCTTGCCAAAGCACAGGGATCCCAGCCCCAAAGTGGCTGGCTTTCCTGCTGCTCCATAACACCCAGTGATCTCACACTGGGACAATGAGGATTTTCAGATGAGGGCACCATTTCCTTTTATTGATATGGCCTGGAAACCGCAGGCAGCAGCCCAGTGGTTTTCCACAATGTAAATTGTCCACTTGTGGAAAACAGCCCTGAGAGCTCTGGAAACCCTCAGTGCTGGGGCTCAGGGAATTCCTCCCACCATGGGCTTTCACAGGCTCATTGGAGTCACAGCAGGACTCACTCTGACTGAGACATTTGTTTTTCCAAGATGTTAATCCTTGGGGGAAAAGCAACAACTGAGACATGTTTACGTAAACTGTGTCAACGTGGTGGCTAAAACGGCAATTCTGGCGCGGGCATGTGTGTTTGTTTGCTTTCATGGAGCTGAGGCAAGGACCTGTGCTTCCCTTTGCCGTGTGCCAGGGCCTGCCCACTCATCTCCCTCCCAGTTCCAGCACGCTGGGATTGGCAGGGCTCCCCCGGCATCTCCCGCTCCAAGCCTGGAGAGAGGTGGCTCAAAAATGTGCTGACAATCCTGTCAAGGGCTGCCAGCAGGGGCTGAGCTCTGTGCTATTCCAGCTCCTGAAAAAGAAGGTTATAGCACGGAATCCCAGAATCCCAGACTGCTTTGGGTTGGCAAAGATCTTAAATTTCATCTCATTCCACCCTCCCGCCAAGGTCAGGGACACATTCCACCTGGCCAGGTTGCTCAAAACCTGGTAATATGTAGATGTTGATAAAGCAGTTGATTTAAATACAATTTGAAGGAAAAAACTGCACCAGGCAGGGTCAGACTGTATGGTTCCCCTATCAGAGTGGGAAGGCCAGAGGTTACACCTGTCAGCAGATAACCACTCAGTGTGGGGGTTCCACAATCTCCCTGGGGACAATAAAGCTTCTCTGCGAAGCCAAACTCCAAACAGGTTCTGCACCAGGCTTGGCTGTTTTCTTCCTTTTAAAACCCAAACCTGCCCTGAATTTCATCTGTTTTCACCTTCGGATAACATGTAAGAGCTTGGCTTTATTTCTTATTGTTTCAGTTGTGGTGTGGTGAGGCTGGGGCGGGAAGAGGGTCATGTCCCATTGCTGGGGTGCTGGTGGAGGAGCCCAGGTGCTGGTGCCAGCAGCAGTGCAGGGGCTCTGGGTGGCTCTGGGTGGCTCTGCAGTGCTCCCTGGGCTGTGCCCATGCCATGCTGGTGCCAGCAGCAGTGCAGGGGCTGTGGGTGGCTCTGGGTGGCTCTGCAGTGCTCCCTGGGCTGTGCCCATGCCATGCTGGTGCCAGCAGCAGGCCAGGGGCTCTGGATGGCTCTGGGTGGCTCTGCAGTGCTCCCTGGGCTGTGCCCATGCCATGCTGGTGCCAGCAGCAGGCCAGGGGCTGTGGGTGGCTCTCTGGGACAGTGCTGGCGCTGGTGGCTCACTGAGCTGACACTGGGCTGCAGAGGTGACCCGCATGAACACCGAGCACGAGTCTGAGTGTGGCACGGAGCAGCAGCCCTGGCTCTGGCCGGGCTCTGGCCCTGCTGGGCAGCTGGTGGCAGTGTGGGTGCGTGCCATGAGTGCTCCTGGCACTGCCAGGCTCAGGTGGGGGCACTGTGCTCCGGCCTGTTTGTGTGTCTGCCACAGCAACTTCACACGCCGGCACAGAGCATCCAACCCAGCAGGGAATTCTCTCTGGGAGTGGAGAGGCTGCCCTGGAATCAGCTTGCCCTGTCTTGTGCTGCAGTCGGAGCTGGGGGAGCTGCTGGGGCTGATGCACTACATGGAGGGGCTGAGGCTGATCTCCGCGGTGGAGCTGGTGGCTCCCACGTCCGACGAGAACGTCACGGTGACGGACACGGAGCTCGGCGGGGTCCCCGTGCGCCTGTTCCTGCCCCAGAGGCCGCCTGGAGGGCTCCGGAGCACCGTGCTCTTCTTCCACGGCGGCGGCTGGTGCCTGGGAGACGCAGGTGAGCCCTGCACACCGCGGCTGGGTCTGTGCCCGCACCTCACTGCCCTGCCAGGAGCTGCCTTTGGTTTCGTGGGACCTGGCACAGGAGGGGCAGGGCACGGGGGTCTCACCAGCTGAAAGCAGGGGGGGTTTGGGAAAGTCAGCTCAAAGTGCTGCCAAGGGGAACAGGCTGGGCTGTGTATGTGTGCGTGTGCCCATTCTCACACACGCTGGGCTTCCATTGCAGGCATGCACGGCTACGATCTCATGTCACGCCGGATTTCAAACGAGCTGAATGCTGTCGTGGTGTCAGTCAAGTAAGAGATATTCTCCTTCCAGATGGGATGAGGGCTTGGAGTAAATTAATCTGTTTCAATTAATCTGATTTTTCAATGTTTCTGTGTTTGATTGCGTGCTTTCCTGCTGACTTATACACAATTGTGAACAGAGGCTGCCAGGGTGACAGGGGAATTGTGGTTGGCAGCTATTTTGGCTTTAGGGAGGTGGGTGGGTAATAAAGCTGGGACAGACAGTTCCCACTTCTCTGGGCACAGAAACAGACATCCCCCAACAGGGAGATGCGAGCAAGCCCTTCTCTTTATTAACAGCAGGTGCTAACACCCTGCTCTTGCCTCCCCCAGCTACAGGCTGGCCCCTCCGCACCGTTTCCCTGCCCAGTTTGAGGACGTGTACTCGGTGACCAAGTTCTTCCTGCAGGACACGGTGCTGTCCCAGTACGGGGTGGACCCTGCGCGGGTCTGCGTGGCCGGGGACAGCGCCGGGGGCAACCTGGCTGCGGCCGTGGCACAGCAGGTACAGCACCAGCGGTTTGCAGATCAAAATCGGTGTTTGTGCAGCCTCACCACCACTGAGGAAAGCTGCTCTCATGGTCTGTCAGGGTGTCACAGACTGCGGGATTGGCACAGGGCTCTGGGGACCAGGCAGCTGTGCCTGAGCCACTCAGCGCCATCACAGGAGCTTTATGCCTTCCAGACACCTCAAAAGGCTCTCTGCCCTCTAGAGTCAGGCCTTACATCACTCCAACCGTAAGCTCGTGTTGTCTGGTTTAGGCATGATGTTTGCAAAGGGAATTTTAACTATGTGACTCATAAAGATGCAAATAGCAGGGAAAACAAGCAAACAAAAAAACCCTCACTAAATTTTGCGGTGTCTGAGCATACAGTCTGGTGCCTTTTGCGCTTCTCCTTCAGCTTTATTAAATAAAACCAGCACGATGTTGTTGCTCTCTTGAGAAGCTGTTTGGGCTGTAACGAAACCCTGGGAATGGTGGTGAATTTGCTGCGGATGCTGAAGGCAGAAGATGAGGGAGGAAATGGAAAATTTATTAGTGAAGAGGGGAAAAGGTTGACATGTAAGAAATGTCAATGTTCAATTCGTCACATTTTGTTACATCTCTAAAACGCACAGAATTGCAATTGCTTCAGTTGTAACATCTTAGGGTTAAAAACCAAACTGATGAACATGCTATAAATTGTGTGAAATTATAAGGAGACCCAGAAACCTGAAAGTTTCATGACGTAAGAATATAAATTTTCAGTAGCTATAGAAAATCTTCTGCCAATACTTCAGAAAGCATCAAAATTTCAGAAAGAGTATTTCCCCAAAATCATTATCCTTCAATATAAGAAATAAAATGAAATTATATTTGATGTTTGAGAATTTTTATTACAGCGTGCTGTCTTAGATAACCTGCCTATAGATTCAGAATTTCTTTATCCTGGTTTTATTGATAATCTTATTTTGCTCACTTTGCAAAATGCGGGTTTTCATTCTTCACCTCAAATGATCTGTCAGTGTGGGAGAATCGACACCTTTACTGATTCTTTGCAATGGTTTCTGTTTTCCTGCAGCTGTCGGAGGACCCTGAAGTGAAAACCAAGCTGAAAGCTCAGGTTCTGATCTACCCCGCGCTGCAGGCGCTGGACCTGGACCTGCCGTCGTACAGGGACAATGCGCACAAGCCGCTGCTGCCGCGGGCGCTGATGGTGCGCTTCTGGAGCGAGTACCTGAGCCCTGACCCCGCTCTCCATGCCGCCATGGCCTCCGGCCGCCACGTGCCGCCCGAGGCCGCGCCGCTGCTGCCCCTGGTCAACTGGAGCCGCTGGCTGCCCGCCGACATGCGGGGGGCCCACGCCTACGAGGGCCCGGCCCTGGCCGGCGCGGGGCTGGCGCGGCGCTTCCCGGGGCTGCTGGACCCGCGAGCGAGCCCGCTGCTGGCCCGCGAGGCCCGGCTGCGCGGCCTGCCCCCGGCCCTCGTGCTGACCTGCGAGCACGACGTGCTGCGCGACGACGGCGCCATGTACGCGGCCCGGCTGCGCGCCGCCGGCGTGCCCGTCACGCACCACCACGCCAAGGACGCCTTCCACGGCGCCATGACCTTCCTGGCCTGGCCGCTGGAGCTGGCCCTGGGCCGCCGGCTCTTGGACACCTGCGTGGGCTGGCTGAAGGAGAACCTGTGAGCCGAAGTCAGCCCCTCGCCTGCCCAGGTGGGACTGGAGCTGCGCTGGATTTTGGCCGTGATCGCCGTCCCCCCTGTGATCCTCATGGTGCTGGGGCTGGAGCGTTTCCCACCCTGCCTGGCAGGAAATCAGCCTGATCCCCACCCAGCGTTCCTCCAGTGCTACCGTCCGAACCTCAAACCCCCAGAGTGCCGGGACTGCCCCGGGTTCCTCCTCTGGCCCTGCAGCCTCTGGGATCTGTGTCTGCTCTCTGCTGCTGCTTCTCTCTCCTATCGCACCTTCAGTCCCTGGTGTGTGCCCAGGGCCAGGTGCCTGTGGGCACACGGGACGTGCTCGGGGCCGTTTCTTCCTGTCCCCTTTGGCTCCGTGGGATGTGGCAGCAGGGCCCCGCTGCTGCCAGGGCTGGTGGGGTGCAGGGAAGCACCGGGAGCTGCAGGAGGCTCGGGGCAGCTGCAGGAACCTGCCCCATCACGGGCTGCTCCTGCTCTGCACGGCTTGAGAGAAGTGCTTGGAAACCCATTGGGATGGCTAAAAATTGTGCAAGTGTTTTGGGCTTTGCTTGTTTGTTTCTTTTGGGGTGTTTGTTTATTTGAGGTTTTTTGTTGTGTTGGGTTTTTTGGTTTTTTTTTTTTTTAATGCGCATGTCTTACTCCTACTTCCTTTCTTTAATCCTTGCACTAGCAGGAATTAGAGAATCAAACCAGCACTGGATATTCACTGGAAAAAGGAAGCTGTGAAGGTCCCAGACTTAGGATAACACTGCTGCATGGTCTGTGCTCTACTTATCTATTAAGTCTTGTACTGGGTGTTCTAATTGTCCTTGAAATTTTTTATCAGATTTCACATATGATTTCTTAAAAGTAGAATTAGCTTAGAAATTTTATAGGCTTGGAAAAGAAACATAGTTCAGCTGGCTATGTGGAACAAATAACCTCTATGCAAATGTTTTGTGTGTTAAATATAAACCCTAAAACTTTGGACTGAAGCATGAATACAAGGGTTGGCTGTTGATTTAAGTAAATCAACCACTGGTCAGGTACTTCACGTATCCTGCTTTTCTTTTGCATAAAAGGTACTGAATCTTCAATAATTCTGGGTTATTTTCCTGAGTGTGTGCAGCCTGTTCAGATGGCGTGTGTAGGGGATGATTGCTATTTTCCATCTTCATTCAGATGAATATAAACATTAAACTGGTTTTTGATTGCAGAGCAGTGTTCTGTGCCTCGGTGTCCCATCCATCGGGAGCAGCGGCAGCCCAGGGGTGGCTGCTGCAGACAGCCCCGGTTCCAGCTCTGCCCCCAGTCCAGCTGGGCATGGGAGCTGCTGAGCTGTGCAGGAGGGAAGCAGCAGCGCTCGGGTGGGTCTGTCCTGGCCCCTTTGCACACCCTGTGGGTGCATATCTGTCTCCTGTGCTCAGTCCCAGAGGGTTTGGGGGCTATTGCTCAGGTCCCCCTGCAGCAGTGCCAGCACAGCCCAGTGCCCGCTACAGCCTGGGCTCCTCTGCTGCCAGACACAGCTCCACTGCAGTTTTATTCCTCCCACATTTGGGAATAATTAACAGCCTCTCAGTGTTCCTGAGACAGCTGGACTTCGGGGTTTTGCTCATTAACACCTTTGGTTTGATTTTCTGTACAGTTTTAGGGTCACATCCACAAGAGTGTTCCCTGGGATGGGCATTTCTGGGTTGTAAATGCCACTGGAATGAGCCCAGCTGGGGTTTCCAGGAAACAACCTTGCTGAATAGACTGCTCAGGGGGGGATGGCTGTGGCTTTGGTTTGGAGGGGACGTGCCCACATGCCATCCCTCAGCAGGCTGCCCTGCTCTGAGCCAGAGGGGCGTTGGTGCTCTCCTGCCCACAGCCCTGGGACGCTGCTGTTAGGGCAGCCTTGGGACATTGCTGTTAGGGCAGCACTGGGCTGAGTGTTGGCCTCAGGGGGCTTTGCCTCCCTCAGGGCTGCTGGAGGAGCCTGTGCCAGCCCAGCTGGAGCAAACCTGGGCCATCCTCCCCATCCAGCTGCCACCTATGACACTGTGCTCCCTCCATCGTGGCTCAGGCATCGGCTCTGCCAGGGACACTGCCTGTAAGGCAGGAGAGAAATTTGTGTTCTAAGAAACAATGCCAGCCAAAGATTGCCAACCTTCCCTTGCGTGTTTTTATAGGATGCTCTTGGAACCAGAAGTAAATGGCTTTTAAGCACCAACACCTAAATATGGGCTCATGATTGATTGGGCTGTATGTTTTTGTTTAGGTTCCTAAAATAGATTTTGGGATTGGAAATGCCTGGTGAGGCACAAAACGAGGCAGTGAAACCTGCACTATTGATGTTGCTGGCAGGAGAGGCTGGAGCTGCTATAAGCTTATCCACACCAAAAACAAGACAAACCACCACAAGGGAAGGCTCTGGTGCATCTCCACAAGCCTTCCCTTGAAGGGAGGATGGGGTTTGCTGGTTGACAGTCAAGGACAAAGCTCAGCCTCACCACGGTGGGTTCACAACCCCGTTAGGAGCCAGCTCTGGGTGCAGAGATCAAACCCCCCAAGGATGCCCAAGCACAGGGACGCTGATCTCAGACTCTCCTACCACAGGGTGCAGTGGGAGCTGCATGAGCAGAGGGGCTTCATGCTTGCAGGTGAGTCAAGGAGGAAATGAAGCATCCTTGAAATATCCCCACCAATCTGGGCTTCCCCATCACCCTCTTCTTAAGAATCCTTAACTTTTTGTTGCAGTACTACGCCGGCTAAAAAACCCAAAAATTCCCCAACGAGCCACCCTGAAACCCCAAACCCCAGAACTGGACAGTGTCCTTGTGTTTCTGGTGTTTTTGGCAGTGTTGGTTGATTGCTCCTGGTGTGCTCAGCCGGGCCCTTGTTCCTGAGGAGGGCTCGGGGAGGGCCCCAAGGCTGCCACCACTGCTCACCCCATGGAGATCTGGGGTCCCTGCTGGTTCCTGGGCTGGAGCCCCATCAGAGCCCAGCAGCACCCAGCCTGCCCTGCAGGAGCACTGGGAGCTGCAGGCCTGCAGTGCCAGCCAGCACAGAGCCCGTGCTGAGCCCAGCTCAGGTGCTCCTGATGGACAGGGCTGCTGAAAGGCAATGGAATGCCAGCGTGTGTGACTGGGACAGCCTCAAAATAGCCAGGGGATAGAAAACTGCTTAGAAGTACAACCAGCTGAGGCAATGGTCACAGAGCTGTAAAGCAGGGACCAACATAAACCTACTGCAATGAGCATTTCTTGCTCCCTCACCAGTGTTCTGAGGAGTTACTGCAGCAGGAAGGAAGGAATGCTCCATTTCTTCAGCCCTATTTTATCCTTCAGTGCAACAGCAGTTGCCTGAATGAACAAGACATTTAAAAGGTGGTAAATGAGAAGCCAGTGTCAGTTATTAGCCATGGGGGAAATTTCAAATCAGCTTCTGTAATGCCTAAATAAGAGCTGATTTATTGGCCTTGTCCACAGAGAAAAGCTACAATAGCTTTTTATATATATTAATGGGGTTAATATTTGATAGCTGGGAAGTACATCACATAAAGGGGAGGGAAAGGTAGAGAAGCTGTGGCTGCCCCATACCTGAGGATGCTCAAGGCCAGGTGGAATGGGGCTTGAAGCAGCCTGCTCTAGTGGGAGCGTCCCTGCCCACGGCAGAGGGGCGCAATTATTGGCTGCGGGGTGTGGTCACTCCGCATTAGCAGTGTTATTATATTTTTATCTTTGCCAGTAGTTTCTACAGCAATGCCAGTAGAGCAGGGAGCTGTGGGGCGGTGATGTGCTGCTGTTTGAGGAATTGGTGCTGCTGTGTGAGGAGCTGGTGATGCTGTGTGAGGAATTGGTGCTGCTGTGTGAGGAATTGGTGCTGCTGTGTGAGGATCTGGCGCTGCTGTGTGAGGAATTGGTGCTGCTGTGTGAGGATCTGGCGCTGCTGTGTGAGGAGCTGGTGCTGCTGTGTGAGGAATTGGCGCTGCTGTGTGAGGAGCTGGTGCTGCTGTGTGAGGAGCTGGTGATGCTGTGTGAGGAGCTGGTGCTGCTGTGTGAGGAGCTGGTGCTGCTGTGTGAGGAATTGGTGCTGCTGTGTGAGGAGCTGGTGCTGCTGTGTGAGGAGCTGGTGCTGCTGTGTGAGGAGCTGGTGCTGCTGTGTGAGGAGCTGGTGCTGCTGTGTGAGGAATTGGTGCTGCTGTGTGAGGAGCTGGTGCTGCTGTGTGAGGAATTGGTGCTGCTGTGTGAGGAGCTGGTGCTGCTGTGTGAGGAGCTGGTGATGCTGTGTGAGGAATTGGTGCTGCTGTGTGAGGAATTGGTGCTGCTGTGTGAGGAGCTGGTGATGCTGTGTGAGGAATTGGTGCTGCTGTGTGAGGAGCTGGCGCTGCTGTGTGAGGAATTGGTGCTGCTGTGTGAGGAGCTGGTGATGCTGTGTGAGGAGCTGGTGCTGCTGTGTGAGGAATTGGTGCTGCTGTGTGAGGAATTGGTGCTGCTGTGTGAGGAGCTGGTGATGCTGTGTGAGGAATTGGTGCTGCTGTGTGAGGAATTGGTGCTGCTGTGTGAGGAGCTGGTGCTGCTGTGTGAGGAATTGGTGCTGCTGTGTGAGGAATTGGTGCTGCTGTGTGAGGAGCTGGTGATGCTGTGTGAGGAATTGGTGCTGCTGTGTGAGGAATTGGTGCTGCTGTGTGAGGAGCTGGCGCTGCTGTGTGAGGAGCTGGCGATGCTGTGTGAGGAATTGGTGCTGCTGTGTGAGGAGCTGGTGCTGCTGTGTGAGGAATTGGTGCTGCTGTGTGAGGAGCTGGTGCTGCTGTGTGAGGAATTGGTGCTGCTGTGTGAGGAGCTGGCGATGCTGTGTGAGGAGCTGGTGCTGCTGTGTGAGGAGCTGGCGATGCTGTGTGAGGAGCTGGTGATGCTGTGTGAGGAGCTGGCGATGCTGTGTGAGGAATTGGTGCTGCTGTGTGAGGAGCTGGCGCTCCTCCTGCCCCGGCCCTGCCCTCCTGCAGCCCCGGCTGTCCCAGGGCGTGGGACGGGAGCAGGGGGTGCCTCTCCCCGCTGCTTCCCCGCGGGTTCCTGCCAAGGGGAAGTGCTGTTGGCATCCCGGCAGCTCACAGACAGATCCGCCTCGCCCCGGGCGTTAATGATTGAGCGAGAGGCGGCGGATCGCAGAGCTGCGCCGGACCCGCGGCGAGGCAGCGCGGCCCGGCCATGGTAAGGCTCCACCACGGGCACCCTGCGTGGCACCCACGCGTCTGGGTGGGCTCCAACTGCTCTTCCTTCTCGCCTTAAACTGATCCATCAGCCTTTTCCTAACAACTTCTGAATTAATGCATCTGTCCATACCGAACTTTCAATATCTGTCGCTATTTAAATTGCTGATGTCTGGGATGTGCTTTCTGGACTAGAATCTCACTAAGGAGTTGAGCTTCTCCTCAAGAACCGAGCAGACAGGGCTCAGCAGGTGAGGTCGGAGGACAGCAAGGGCTCTCTGTAGCATTTCTGTCTCCTGGGGGGCACACAGTAAGTGTAGAGGCTTGATGGAAATGGCTTGATGGAGTTTTTGCTCTGCCTTATGATCTCCCTTCAAAATGAAATACAGCTGATCTCTGCTTTGAGGACAGAGACCTGTGAACAAGTTCCTGACACCAAAACAGCTTTGGAAATCTTAACCTTAGCTTGAGTTCAGTTTTGATCTATATCCCAGTTTCTGGCATGTGGTTTTCCCTGCTTTCCTGTTGTTTGCTGACACTTTATCCAAGGCTGTCACCAAAAGCTCTGTGTGTCCTGTGGCAGGGACAGGTGGCTGCTGAGGAGGGAGAGGAGTAAACACTTGAGATGCTGCTCTATTTCCTTCCCTGGAGTGGAAAGCATTTTTTAACCAGCCTTTAGAAAGAAAGCAAGCTCATGTGTGGTGCAGCTTTGAAGGAAGCTTTGGCAGAAGGCACAGGAGATGTGCTCCATCCTCCGTGCAATTCCGGTACCCAGTTTGCAGCACAGCTCACCAAGCGCTCGATTAAGGGCTGGGTTAATTTAACAAACACATCTCTCCTGGCTCCCCAGCCAGTCCTGAGCAGGGCTGCTGCCTTCATCCCTCACCAGCCCTGTCAGCAAACCCCTCAATGACGAGGCAGGACCCACGGGACTGGTGTTGGGTAACAGGGGCAGATGGCTCCACGAGGCTCTGACAGGGCACCCACGGGCTGGTTTCGCTTTCCTGGCCCCGGCACTGCCGTGGCTTTGGCCAAGCTGGCACACTGTGACTGATGCCTTCATTCGGGTGATGCTCCCACTTTGAGTTCCTCACACAGGTCTTTGCTCGGGCGAGTTTTCATCTCCTTCTGTAACTCTGATCAGTGTCTGCAAGTACCAGTCCCGTGTGGGAGAGATATTTGAGGTCACATATCTACTTACCCTGTAGGCTGGAAGGAAATTGCAGGCTGCATGCACTGATTACAGCAATGATATAACAATAACTGTGCTATGATCCTTTACTTGGGTTCGCCGTTTATTTTTTTTCTTGTGATTTTCCAGGCTGTGAACGAGACCAGTGGCCATCTTCCGACAAACAGAGTACTGGAAAAGTATTATCTCTCCACCATGTACAGCCTTGAGTTCATTATAGGTGCCCTTGGAAACATCATCGTGGTGTTTGGCTATGTTTTCTGCCTGAAAAAATGGAAAAGCGGCAACGTCTACCTGTTCAATTTATCCATATCGGATTTGCTATTTCTGTGCACTCTGCCAAATCTGGTGAACAGCTACTCCAAAGATCAGTGGGCAGAGAGCACCCTGTGCCACAGCAACAGATTCCTGCTGCACGCCAACCTGTACAGCAGCGTCCTGTTCCTCATGGTCATCAGCGTTGACCGGTACATGCTGATGAAGCACCCCTTCAGGGACCACATCCTGCAGAAGAGGAGCACGGCTGTGGCGGTGTCTGTGGCCGTGTGGGTCGGGGTGATCCTGGAGCTGCTGCCCCTGCTGCATTTCCTGGAGCCCGTCACAGCTGCCAATAACTACAAGTGCCTCGACTACGCCAGCTCTGGGGACCCCGTGGCGAGCCTCGTCTACAGCATGTTCCTGACCGTCTTTGGCTTCCTCATTCCGCTCCTGACCATGGGCTGCTTCTACGTGAAGATGGTTTGTTTCCTGCAGAACAGGAGCGAGCAGGTCCGCTCCGCCCTGACCCTGGAGAAGCCCCTGACCCTGGTGATCCTCACCGTGGTGACCTTCTCCCTGCTCTTCACTCCCTACCACGTCATGCGCAACGTGCGCATCGCCTCCCGAATCCCGGCCCTCAACGTCTCCGGGGGCACGCAGAGAGTCATCACCACTGCTTACATCATCACCAGGCCCTTCGCCTTCCTAAACAGCGCCATTAATCCCGTCTTTTATTTCCTGATGGGTGACCACTTCAGAGAGATGCTGATGGCCAAAACAAGGCAGCTCCTGGGCAGGCTGACAGCCACTGGGAAGTGAATGAGTAAGCAGTCTCCTTGTGGTGGGAGAGGTCTGGGAGGAAACTCTCTGAGGGAGAGCATTCAGCAATGTGCCATTGTTTTAGATAACTTTATTCATGCAATAGGATAGGTATGAGCTGACTGTGTTCCTCTAAATGCGCCTGTCACCTCGTTGTGCGGGAGATTTCTGCTGAGCTGCCTCCGGCAGGCCGGGAGGGATGCTGTGCTCGCTCCCACAGGCCAGCAGTGGGGTGCCCCACAGGCCACTGACACTGCCATCAAAGGCCACCAAGGCAGCTCTCTGAGGGACAGCACGCTGCTCTCAGACAGCTGCTCTGTGAGCCACAACCTGGGCCTGGGCTGGGACAAACGTGCCTTCATGGGTCACCAGGACAGCCAGGCACGCTCACAGGGGCACTCACAGCGTATGGAGCCACCTAGCCTCACTATAGCTGTCTATAAGTGCCCGTGGAACCTATAGCCTGAGGCAGAACTCCGACCTCAGAGTTCAAATTCATTAGCAGTTGCACTAATGAACCAGGAGCTAATGAGGAGCCAGCCCCTGCCTGATCCCTACACAGAGCCCAGCACCTCAGAGGGACTCAAAAACCTGCTGGGCTCTGGTCCTTCCCCCTTTGGGACAGCCCTTTGTACCTTTGAATTAGTGGCAATCTCTAAAGCCTCCATGACTTCTATTTCCCTAAACTAATGAGTGAAACTTCTGATCATTACACAATTAACTGTGATGCTGCTGGTTTTGCAATTAAAAATGTGATAAAAAAGAGAATATAAACCACCATGTTCAAGCTTCACATGCATGTTCCTCTCTGCCTGATTCTTCTACTGCTGGGTGGTACATGGAGAAATTTCAGTTAATAAAGCTCCAAAGCACCGCCAGGTTCACCTGAGCTGGGCTAAGCAGGACCAAGGTGGGTGCAGGTTCCCCCAGGGAGAATCACACCTGGGCTGCAGGCACTGGCATCAGCACAGCTGGGCACAGGCTTTGGTTCTGATTCAGACAGGGCCTTTTTGGTTTCATTTTGTTTTGTCTTCCTCATTTTGGGTGTGGACTGAAAATGCCTCCAGAACAGGAATTCAGCTGTGAGTCAGCCTGAAAACAGTCCAAGTATGTTTTAGTGGCGGTAAGTGACCTAAAAATAACTGTTCCTGGGAAGAGGGCGAGGGCAGGGCAGGGGCTGGGGCTGGGGCTGCCCCGGCCCTCCCTGCAGCCCCACAGCCGCTTTCCCAGGGCCAGCACACCGGGCTGGGCCCAGCCTCCCCTTCAGTGCGAGCTGCAGGAGCCTGTCCTTGCAGGGAACCCACAACCAGCTCCACACCCACGAGAAAACACGCGGATCTATTTCTTATTCATTCCAAACCCTACCAAACCTCAGGTCCTCTGCAGCTTGGAATGTGTAAAATGTGTTTTTCCTGACGTTTAGAGGGAATTTCCCGGGTTTGTTCCCATCACCTTTTGCCCTGCACTGCCCAGCTCTGTGCTCAGCTGCCTCTGCCCCTTGCCCCAGCTCTCTGCGGTGCTCTGTGCCACAGCAGCTGCTGCTCTGCAGTGTGTCAATAACCATGATTTGTAAGAGAAGAGCAAGGCTGCCCGCACAGGGGCCGTGGGTTCAGAGCAGTGCTGTGTGAGGGGCGGCTGCCCTGGGCACCAGCACAGGGGTCCTGACCATGTCACTCATTCAGAGTTTCACTGCCCATGTTGACAGTAATGAAGATACTAATTCAGCTGACTTCTGCTTTGGTTTCAATTTGGTTTTCACTTTCTAAAAATACATGAGCTGAAAATAGCCTTCCTGGAGCCCGGGAGGAGCTGCACCCTCTGGGCAGGCTGCCCCCGGGCTGGTGAGGTGAGGGCAGCTCTGCACCCCGAGGCCTCCGGGCAGCACCCAGGTGTGAGGCACACTCATGGAAACGCCTGGAGCTTCACCTGTTTGCTCCAGCAGCTTTTGGGTCAGCAGCATCGGGGCCTGAGCAGAGCACAGCAACGCCTGGGGGCACAGCACTGCGGGGATGCCAGAGCAAGGTGCCTGCAAGGCTCGTTTTCCTTTCGGCTTTCTGTGTCTTATCGAGATTTTGACCCACATAAGTGAAGTGGAACATTTAAGTGCTGCTTTGTTCATTCTTGCACTCTTGCCTCACTTCCTGACTCAGCCACATAAGAGTCACAGGATGGAAGGTCTCACAACCGTCCAGATGAAGCAATTATTTTATAAATAAAGCAATCCAGCAGTTTGCCCGCTGCCTTTTGAAATAAATCCTGTGCTTTTGGCTGCTCCAAGGCTTGGTCTTAGGAATTCTTTTCCCTTCCCAGAGGCCTGCCCTGTCTGGTGAATGCTGTTCAGGGGCAGACACAGCCCTCGTGCTCTGGCCCAATTCCTTCTTTCTGATGGGACGGTGGGGCTGAGCTGGCACAGCCCAGCTGGGGGACAGGGAGCTGTTACCCGCCCAGCCAGGGGCTGCAGGGCTGGGCAGTGTCCAGGTGAGGGGCCAGAGGGGGCAATGGGTCCCACCTGCCCCAGGAGCCCCATCAGACAGGATGTGGGGCCCAAAGGGTTAAACAGGGGCTGTGGTGCTGCTTTCCTGCCTGCACAAGGATCCCGTGCTGCCTGTGGGCTGTGCTGGTGGGGGCCACAAGGAAGGAGCAGGCTGAGCAGGTAAGAATGAGGCGGCAGTTCTCAAAAGTCTCTTTTATAACTAAAGTTACAGCAGAAATGTTTACCGCAGAGTGTGGCACTTCTTGGGGAAGGCTGGTTGGGTGATGTGCTGGAGAGAGAGCTTGTATGTGCATTGTGGTGTAGGGCTGTGGTGGGACAGCCAGATGGAACCAGGAGCTCCTGCAGAGAAATAAAGGGACCCAGTTTGGTTTGTGGGAAATGAGCACCAACGTGAGGAGAGCTGCTCTGTGCTGAGGCAGGAGGGGTGAAGGGAGGCCTCTGCAGGTGGAGTAACGGAGAGGCAGTGTGCAAAAAAACCAACCCTTCGAGCTGGGTTACAAGTGAAACCACGGGGAAATGTCTCTGTAAATAAAGGTACGAGGAGCAGCTGAGAGCCCAGGGACCTGCCTGGAGCTGCCCCGGGCTCTGCAGGGACACGCGGCAGGGACACACGGCAGGGACACACGGCAGGGACACACAGCAGGGACACACAGCACCTCTGCCTCTGCAGGGACACATGGCAGGGACACACGGCAGGGACACACGGCAGGGACACACAGCAGGGACACGCGGCAGGGACACACAGCAGAGACACACGGCAGGGACACAGCACCTCTGCCTCTGCAGGGACACATGGCAGGGACACACAGCAGAGACACACGGCAGGGACACACGGCAGGGACACACGGCAGGGACACACAGCATTTGTGTCTCTGCAGGGACACACAGCAGGGACACACAGCACCTCTGTCTCTGCAGGGACACATGGCAGGGACACACGGCAGGGACACACGGCAGGGACACACAGCATTTGTGTCTCTGCAGGGACACACAGCAGGGACACACAGCAGGGACACACGGCAGGGACACACAGCACCTCTGTCTCTGCAGGGACACACGGCAGGGACACACACGGCAGGGACACACGGCAGGGACACACGGCAGGGACACACAGCATTTGTGTCTCTGCAGGGACACACAGCAGGGACACACAGCAGGGACACACAGCAGGGACACACGGCACCTCTGTCTCTGCAGGGACACATGGCAGGGACACACGGCAGGGACACACGGCAGGGACACACAGCACCTCTGCCTCTGCAGGGACACACAGCACTTGTGTCCTCAGCTGGCCTGGCAAACGGCTGGGGCTGTGTGAGTGCTCCCATGGGCTCCCCCCATCCTTGGAATGGTAGTTATAAAGCAATTGGGACTTTCTCTCGTTCTCTTCTGCAGACAGTCCCCACAGCTCCTTTCCCCCGATCAGCCCATGGAGAGGCTCAGAACAAACACGACCTCACCTGGTGGGCCTTGGGCTGCTCGCATGGCCTCTGTCACTGGGCAGCCCCTGGCACTCGAGGGGTTCCCCGCTCTCCTAAGGAAATGCAGCTCCTGGGGTGCCTGGCTGTGCTCCCTGGCAGGTTTACCAGCGGAAATCCTCCTCCTGCAGGAGCACAATGGCTGGGGGCTCTCCAGGGTGAGCAGCAGCCAGGGAAAACAAACACCATCCTGTTACAGCACATTTCTACAGGGGCCTGGATTTAAAAACCTCATGTATGAGGTCCAATTGCCATGATATTATATCTAGCAATACATTTTTGACAGGAGAGGAAGTACTTTATCACCCTAATGTTTATTTTTCTTTATGGTGTATATGGGGATATTCTAGTTTCTGTGTATTTCAACCCAATATCTTTGCAGGGAATGTTTTAGCTATTGACTGCCCTAAGAAATGCTGGTTTCTCTGAGGTTTGTGTCTATAGTTCTGTCACAGAGAAATAAACTTTCCCTGATCCCTGGGATCAAATTACTTTCAGTGCCCATTTGTCTTTCAGGGTGTTTTTTTCTTATTTCCTTTTAATTAGTTGTTGTGCATTTCAGGGCAATCATTACAAAATGGTGATGCTTTGTGCTGCTCATTGTGCTCCATTGGGGGAAGTGCCACAGGATGCTTTAGATGGCTTGATTGCATAAAGCCCCTTTGGATGCAGGGTTTGGTTGGCTGTGACCCCAGTGCCTGTCCCAGCCCCATCCCTGCCTCGCCACCAGGGCACCTCCTTCATCCTCATCCCGTGCTTGGAGCTAGAGCTGACGAGCAGATGCTCTCTCCTCTGCTTTGATTTCTGTCATTTCCTAGAAGGATTTCAGTAGTAACCTCAAAGGATCCCAAAATGACTTTTCCTGTTCCCATCAGAGATTAATTCAGTCTTTGTTTTCTCCTGCCCGCAACACCTTTGGGCAGAGTGTTTGGTACAACTTGGCAAGGGAAGAAATAACATCAGAATTGACCTTGTACCAAAATAAATACAGAGGAATTAATGTTTAGTTACAATTATCCTGTTCTCAT